CTTAACTGTGTCTCTTAAGAAAGTTCAAGAATTTTTATAGGAATACAGAGATACCCAGGGCCTAGCAAGGTAAAATTCATACTGCCTCACAGTCAGTAAAATATTACCAGGCATATGAAGTAGAAGTAGTAAATATGACCCATTATGAGAAGAAAAATCAATCAATTGTAGTAGATCCAGAATATTAGCACAGATGTCACAGTTAGAAAACAGGGACATAAAGTCAGTTGTTGCAACTGTATCAAACATGTTTACGCAGTTAAGCACTAGTAAGGAAGATAGAAAAAGTTCCAAACTGAACTTCAGGAAATAGAAAGTACAACGTCTGAGAGGAAATATACATTGAATATAACTAGTAGAAGATCAGACATGGCAGAAGAAAGAACTTCAACCCACAGTAGGATAAACTATCCAATATGAAACAGAGAGGTAAAAAGATATCAAAAAAAAAATAAACAGAGCATTAGTGAACTGTTCAATATGCATGTAATCGGAATTCCCAAAAAGAAGAAAGAGAAGTATAAGAAAGAAAAATATTTGAAGAATAAATGTTGAAACTTTTCTAAATTTGTTTAAAAAAAACCCCTATAGATTTAAAGTCAATGAATCTAGCATAATAAAAATAAAAGCACTAAACCAAAGCATATCATAATTGAATTGCTCAAAATCAGAAATAAGAACACAATCTTAACAGTATGTAGAGAGAGGGAAACGCTACATACACAGTAACAAAGGTAATGATGACAGCAGATTTTTTTAATCAGGAATAATGAAAACTGAAAACAAATTACAACAAAAACAAAACAAAAAACTATCAATCTAGAATTCTATAGTCAAGCTTAAATGTTTTCTTTTAAGTAAGAAAGCTCAACAAAAATAGTAGAAGAAAAGAAAACTCCAGACTAATATCTCTTAAGAAATTAGATGCAAGAATCTTCAATAAAATGTTAGTAAATAAAATCTGAGTATTTATAAAAATAATTAATTTTACAATAAGAACAAGTGGGATTTACTCCAGGTATGGAAGACTGGTTCAGCATTTGGCAATTAACCTACAATTGCAGTATAATCCACAATAGCAACAGGCTAAAAGAAAAAAAAAATACTCAATTGACATAATAATATGATCAGTTAACATATTAAAAAGCATTTGATAAAATCCAATACCATTCAAGATAAAACTGTCAACATACTTGGAATAGAGAAATTCTTCAATCTGGTTAAAAGAAAAAACTCCAAAAAAATCTCAAAAGCTAACATCATACTTAATAATGAAATAATCAATGCTTTCCTTGAGATTAGGAACAATGCAAAGATGTCTTCTCTTGCTACCCTTCCCAACATAGGAATGGAATTTCTCACCTGAACAGTGAGGCAAGAAGAAGAAATAAGAGGCATCCAGATAGGAAAGGATGACATACTATGCAGTTGTCTATATAGAAAAATCCCTAGAAATATATATTTTTCAAAGAATTAATAAGTGAATTTAGTAAGATCCAGAATACAAGATCATCACAAAAATAAATTGTATCATTACGTACTAACAATAATTATGTGGATACTGAAGTTAAAAACATAATACCATTTAAAATTTCTTTAAAGTAAATGACTTTGGGGCTACTAGACCAGCCTGAAAGTATTCATTACAAGCAAATTTGCACTATAAAAAAACTTAAAGAAAGCCATTCAGGTAGAAGGAAAACAATACCCCTGATGAAAATGTGGGTGTACACAAAGCCATGAAGCACACGAGAACAGAAACCACATTGTAAATATATGACTTTTAAAAATATGTATAAGTCTTTTTAAAAGATAACTGATTATTGAAACAAAGATAACACTATTGTGAGAGTTTACAAATTATATAAATAAAATCAGAGTAGATAAAGGAAGATGACTATGTGCTATTTATAAGAAATCTATTTTTAATTTTTTGAGGAATCTCCATACTGTTTTCCATAGTGACTGTACCAATTTATATTTCCAGCAATAGTAAACTTAGGTTCCCTTTTCTCCACATGCTTGCTAACACTTATTATTTTAATGAGGAACTAGAAGATATAAAGAAGAACAAATTAGAACTAATGAATACAATAACTGAAATGTAAAACACAACAGAAGAAATAAGCAGCAGGCTAGGTAATACAGAAGAAAGCATAATTGATCTGGAAGACAGAATAATGGAAATCACACAATCAGAAAAGCAAAAAGAAAAACAAATTTTAAAAAATGAAAGAACTTTAAGAGATCTCTGAGACAACATTAAGCATCGCAACATTCTCGTTATAGGGGTCTCAGAGAAAGAAACAAAAGAGAAAAAGGTTGGAAATGTATTTCATAAAATTATTACTGAAAACTTCCAAAACCTGAAGAAAGAAACAGATACTCTGGTACAGGAAGCACAAATGGTTCCAAACAAGATGAACACAAACAGATCCACTTTAAGAAATATAATTAAAATGGCAAGAGTTAAAGAGAAAATTCTAAAGGCAGCAAGAGAAAAAAAAGAGTCATATATAAGGGAATTCCCATAAGACTATCAGCTGATTTTTCTCCAGAAATTTTACAGAAAGGAATGGCATGATACATTTAAAGTGCTGAAAGGGAAAAATCTGCAACCGCGGTACTCTACACAGCAAGATTATCATTTAAAATTTAAATTAATTTAAAATTTAATAATTAAATTGAACTAAATTTTAAATTTTAAATTAATTTAAAATTAAAGGAGAGATAAAGAACTTGTCAGACAAGCAAAAACTAAAAGTTCACCAATACTAAGCCTAATCTAAAAGAAACACTGGCGTCTTTTCTAAGTGTAAAATAAAAGGCTATAAAAAGAAGTAAGAATCTATAAGAAGGGAAAAATACCAGTAAGAAAGCCAAATATATAGTAGAGCTGAGGATTAACTACTTCAGTAGGTCAGTATGATGATTTACAAGAAAAAATGCAACAATACTATCATAAACATTGAAAAGGTAAACACAAAGGTGTAAAATATGACATCAAAACCACAGAATGTTGGGGAGAGAGTAGAAAAGGTAGTTCTTTTAGAATGTGTTTTAACTTAGTGATTACCACTTTAAAACAAGTAGATATAGTTATAGATTAACATATATGAGTTCCACATGGTAACCACAAATTAAAAACCCTCAGTAGTTACACAAAAACTGGAATTAAAGGAAAACAAGCATAACAATAAAGAAAATCATCAAACTACAAGAGAAGAAACAAAAAGAACCTAATCTATCATCTACAGGATTTAGAAAAGGAAGAACAAACAAATTCTGAAGTCAGCAGAAGGAAGGAAATAATACAGATCAGGAAGGAAATAAATAAAAAACCAAGAGCTCGTTTTTTGGAACAATGAATAAAACTGACAAATTTTTATTTAGCCTAGCTTATAAAGAAGAAAATAGAGAGCATCCAAATAAACAAAAATAAGATATGAAAAGGGAGAAATAACAACTGGTACCACAGAGATTAAAAAAAAAATCATAAGAGAATACTATAAATAGTACATGCCAACAAGTTGGACAATCTAAAAGAGATGGATAAATTTCTAGAAACATACAACCTACCAAGAGAGAATCAAGAAAGCATGCACAATTTGAACAGATAGATCACTAGTTGTGAAATTGATTTTATAATAAAAGAACTCCCAGCAATCAAAGTCCAGGATCAGATGGCTTCACAGGGAAATCTACCAAAAAGAACTAATGTCTAGCCTTTTCAAACTATTAAAAAAATTTTTTTGAAAAGAAACTATTCCCAGATTGTTTCTACTGGGTCACCAAAACCAGACAAAGACATTACCAAAAAAGAAAACTACAGACTCTTATCTTTGATGAATATGGATGCAAAAGTCATCAACAAAACATTAGGAAACCAAATTCAACAATATATAAAAAGGATCATGCAACATGATCAAGTGGGATTTATTCCAGAGTCATAAGGATGGTTCAACATTCACAAATCAATCAATGTGATATACCACATTAAACAAAAGGAAGTATTAAAAAAAATCACATGGTCATCTCAATATATGCAGAAAAAGCATTTGAAAAAGATCAATATCCATTCATAATGACATCTCTCATCAGTGTATAGCGAGGGAACATATATAGATGTAATAAAGCGTATTTATGGACAGCCCACAGTTAACATCATATTCAACTGTGAAAAGCTGAAAGCCTTTCCACTAAAATCAGGAAAAAGACAAGGATGCCCACTATCACTACTTTTATTTGACATGGTATTGGAAGTCCTAGCCACAGCAGTACGTAAGAAAAAGAAATAAAAGGTGTAAAAATTGGAAGGGCAGTAAAACTGTTACTCTTTGCAGACAACATGATTACCCAAAAGTCTCTACCAAATGCTATTACAACTAACAATAAATGCAGCAAAGTTCAGGATACATGATGAATATACATAAATCACTTACTTTTCTGTACACTAATAATGAAATATCAGAAGGAAAGCAAAAAACAACAAACCCATTTAGAATTGCATCAAAAAGAATAAAATACCAAGGGAAAAATTAATCAAAAGGGGAAAAGGCCTATACTCTGAAAACTATAAAATACTGTGATGAAGGAAATTGAAGATGATACAAAGAAATGGAAAGATAGGTTGTGTTCTTGGAAGAATTAATACTGTAAAAATGTTCATGCTACCCAGCACAATCTACAGATTGAATGCAATTTGCATTAAAAAACTATGACTTTTTCACAGAACTAGAAGAAAATAATTTGAAAATTTATATCAAACCACAAAAGACCCCAAATTGCCAAAGCAATTTTGAGAATAAAATAACAAAATTGGAGGTATCACATTTCTTGATTTCTGACTATATTATAAAGCTATGGTAATCGAAATAGCATGGTACTGGCACAAAAAAAAACAGACACATAGATCAACGGAACAGAATAGAGACCCCAGAAATAAACCCATCCACTTATGGTTAAGTAATCTATGACACAGGAGGAAGAATATACAATGGATACTTACATGGCAGGGGAGACACCATGATCACAAAGGTGGTTTTCCTGGGGTAAGTCTTATCCATTGCACTCCCATTGTGCTGACCCTTGCAATTTCCCCAAATGTGAGAAACTCAACCACATAATTTGCGGTAGTGGGGAACTGCATTCGTGACTTCCCCTAAAAACAAAAACAAGAATACACAATGGAGAAAAGATAGTCTCTTCAAAAAGTGGTGCTGGGAAAACTAGACAGCAACATGTAAAAGAATGAGGTTAGAACACTTCCTCATACCATATATAAAAATAAACTCAAAATAGATTCAAAACCTAAATGAAAGATATTAAATCATAAAACTCCTAGAAAAGAACATAGGCAGAATACTCTATCACATAAAATTATAGTAATTTTTTCAGATCTGTTTCCTAAGGCAAAAGAAAAAATCAAAAATAAATAAATAGGACCTAATTAAACTTAAAAGCTTTTGCACAGCAAAGGAAACCATCAGGAAAACAAAAAGATAACCCACTGAATGGGAGAGAATATTTGCATGTGACATAACCAAT